GAGGATTTGACTCCCGAATCATCTTGAACCGCAGCGAGCCAGTGGTTGAACGGATGGGGTGTTTCTGTGTACATTTGCGATATTACACAGTCAGAGCAAAAATCGACAGAGTCCGAGCATACAGTGCAGTACCATCTGGTGCCCACGATTGGTGATTCGTCACAATAATTGCACTGGAATTTTAAAAAAATTGTTAGTATAACCACCCAATAATAGCAAGGCCTTGCAAAACTTTCCCTAAACAAAATTCAATTAATCATTACTCAAATTTACCTTGTAGCCCGCGTGGCTGAATGGAACATAACTGTCGGCTGATTCACACACTTTAACCTCTCGCACCCGTTTTAGTAATTTGAGCTGGAGTTCTGGACTGAAGTTTTCGGTTGCTTCTGTATCACCAGAGGACTGCAGGTAGTCAGTTCTCATGAGGTAATTATCTGCATAAAAAAACGTTTTAACTTGTTCATTGGCCATAAAGATTCAAAATGTACCATTTCTTGAGCTGTTATTTATATTCGTTGGAACTTCACTGGGACCCGGAATATTGTTCAAATCCTCCATTTGAACGGGAATACTGAGTTCTGGGAAAAACGTGGTTGGCTTCCAAAGGTAGTGATTAAAACGTTGGTGTTTGTGGTGGGCCGATTTCTGTAAAGCAACAGAAAATTTGCGTGTGAGAAATAGTACATGCAATTTTAAAAATTCACAAACCCGGTATTTTTCTGCACATTTCGGTATTCTGCCTGGAATAGGCAGTCCCGCTTTGTACAATTTGAGGAAATATTTCTGAAGTCTGCTGGCTACTTGATGCACTGTTTTGTTCCCTGAAATAATTGGATTATTTAGTACGAAGTTTTCCTATTGCTTGCCACATTCGTTTACCAAGCGCATCGGCGATCTTCTGAAACCGTTTCATTTCTATTGGTTCCGGAGGATAAATCCGCAACAATTCTTCTAGGCGCCGTTGTTCCTCAGGACTCCACGCTCTGCAATGTATACGTTCATTAATATTATACAATTACTTATTTCTGAAAATTAATCCAATTACTTGTAAGTGCCGCCAGTAGCTTTTTCAACGATGGGCTTGTCAGGAGAGTTTTGTGGTTTATCTGAATAAATCTCCATCAGATCACTTTCAGCAACTTTCATTTTGTATTTTTGAAAATCGATTTTTGGTAGCTGCAACACAATTGGACGCGTACTTTAAACAGTGCAGCTATTTATGATTATTAAAATGATATTTTACCTTAGGCAGCTCCAGCATGGGGGGTATACCTAGGTTGTTGTCGGTTTGCATTTTTTTCAATGTGCCAAATGGATCTTTTAAACATTCGATTTTCAATTCTGCTATCGCCTTATAGTCCTACAAAAAAGTGCACGTTAATTATTTCGATTTAAAAAGCGTTGATAAAACGAAAATCTACAGAGATCTTCATAACTCAAGTCTACAAAAACATTTATTATTTGCATGTGAGGTTCTTTAATGATGTGCAAATGGGGAGTGAAGGTGTGAATAATTAAACATATTGAATTCGCTTAAGACAAAGATAATTTTAGAATTAGAGGAAATTGATAAAGTTTGCGCAAAAACATTGTTGCACCGTTCTTCTGTAAAAATGTTTTTCATAGATAATATTATACAATATTTAATACAATGAAACTGATAATTGATTCAAGCGGTCTATATTTAAAAAATAAAGTTACACACTTGGACACAATTTGCAGATTTTCAGAAATAAGTTAAATTTGGAGCTGTTTTAATCTGATGTACCAAGTCGATTACAGCCTTAGTAATACTTAAAATTCGCATGTTATTTCATTAAATCTGGCAATTTTTGCTATAATGTGCTGTGTTGTTATTATTGCTGGATGAGCTTTGCACTTACTTTAAGGGCTTTTTCCCTTTGAGCTGAAAGGCATACGAGTGTTTTTAGGACTTCGCAATAGTCTTCGTTGCCTTTTAAGGCCAAATGACCAGATTCAAAGGTAAAAAGATCATTTTCAACGTCTAAACTTGGCGCTTGATCATCCATAGTCGTTCTAATACTTCACGTCTTCAAGCAATATTCGGTAAGGTAGAATCGAAAGAGACGTTCTACAGGCCGGTAGAACATTTATATATTAAATCAAGCAATTACAAGCATGCACGTTAATAGAGCATGTAAACTTTGAATGTAAACACAGCCACAGACTACATACTATAACACAGCTAATGGAGGTTATACCCTGGTTACATTGGAAACTGACAACTGACATTCAAATCAGTAGAAAAAGAAGTTCGGGAGTGTTTTCGCATATTCCAGCGGCTGATGAGCAAACTAGGCTCCTGCGCAGCTTTACCGATTGAGTTCGCACCAAAAGTTGGCGGCAGATTTGAATTCAATTTATGATCTCAGCCAAAGTTTCAATAATATTTGAAGCGTCTCATAATGTCCTTTAATAGTTAACGATACAATTAAATAACATTGTGAGATGCTTCAAATATTATTGGGGCGTAAGCCATCAGCGATCGGGGAGACCATATAAAATGAATTCAAATCGCCTGCTAATTGTTTTTTTCAGTAAATTCTTCGGTTTTCCACCGTAGACTGTTTAATACGAACTTGTAGACAAGGTCGAATAAGAGTGTTTGGTAACGACCAGTCGTTAATTAATCTAGGAAAATTTTGATCTGAATATGAAATTTTGATGTGGGGAAAAAATAAGAATGTTTAAGTCCTCAAATAACAGAAAATAATGTTTTATTCGTTCAATTTCAAACGTGCCGAGGATGGAAACGGGAAAATTATTAGTGCCGCGATTCACTCGTTAAAGGCAACAACTACTTTTGGATAACACTGCATGATATGAATAACTTTTTATTAACTTATATACATACAATAATAACAAAATATATTACACCGGGGGTTGCACTTTAAAAATAAACAATCGGACGGTAAATGAAAGGAATTAAAGATTTCCTTAACTCTAAATCATTTTTGAATTTCTTCAGTGGCTGCTGCTTTTGAGTTTTAATTTACTGCAATTACTTTATTACCCCAAATGGATACGGAGGAAACTAATGCATTAATATGTTATTTTTAATGAAATTCTATAAATAATTAATCTAGGATAACGAGCCACTTTTGAATACCGTAACATACACTCAGTAGGTATTAAACATTTCCAATTTTATGTACATTTTAGGCCACTTGGCATAAGCCTAATAATGTTAAAGAAATTGAGCCGCTGCTCAAACTAATTTGCAAGTTGCAGATAAGATAATGAACGTATAGCACTGCACCCTTTACAAAAACACTGTGTTATAAGATTAATATAGAAATATATCCCATGCAAGAAAGCAGACCAAAATTAAGAAGTCTTCAAAGCAATGATGATAATAATCACTGCCAAAATGATGGCTGCGATCAATATAAAAAATACTTTCTTTTTTCTAATACGGTCTTTGTAGCTGCCAGCTTCCCTAAGCTGTTCAGCTCCCTGATGAACAAAATTAGACGTACTCTCCACTGAGGATTCTATACTGTCTATCACTTCGCCCTGTTCATGCACTAGTCGCCCTAAATCTTTGAAGATCTCATTCACGTCGTTAATATCACTCTGAAAGAGGAATAGATTATTGTCATATTTATATGCTGCTTCGATGGAAACTTGCCTCAAGTTGTTGGACAGCTTGTTCTTGTTCTTGTAAAAGTCTTAAATCCGCCTCTTCTTGCAGTTGCATTTGTTGGTTTCCGGCACCACCTTGAAGCTCAATCAGCTGTTGATCCTTTTTGTATCCAGCTAAAAAAGCATGGGAGGTTTAACTTGCACTTCAGGCAACTTATTTCCATTTCTTACGTAAATATGGCTGATCCCCATAGGCTTGTTGCCTGGCTTTCTTAATTTGCTCTTTCTCTTTCTGGGCGGTACTTCTTTGAACCTAACGAGGAATGAGTCGTTAGTTACTTCTACAAGTTGAGCTTTTGATTATTGAATACCTGTTGGAATAAATTCAAAGTGGTCGAAAATTCATCTTGCAGTCTTTCACGCTGCATCTTTCTTTGCCTTTGTTCAGACTGTGACAACGATGGGGAAATATTGGCGAGGTCCTTAATGTATCCATTGGTATCTTTTACGAGTTGTTGAGTATAATGCTGAAGTGAGTGCAGTTGTTTGCGTAGTTCTGGCGAGTCTTGATGACTGCCAATTTGGTTGACCATTCGTTGCATGGAAGACACTATAATGAAGTCTCATGAGATAATGGACAGTCCCATAAAATGTAAGTTAGGCTTACCATTTTGATGAGTTTTTTGAATACTTGAAGCAATTGTTTGGGACAACTTTTGAAAGTCCTGCTCTTGGGTCTGATTTCCGTTTTGATACGAATCCATTTCTTACTGTAAGTTCAGCGACTTACAAAAATGAATGCTTAATTGCACGCAGTTTTTACGGCAACAATATGGTTTCGTTATCTTACTTGATACCATCAATAGGTTTCAGGGGTTATTTTTGGACCAGCTTTCAACGATTAATTTGCTAATTAAAACAGTTTAATTGTTAAAAATCAATAACAAAGTTTGAGTCATACAATGGGAAAACAATTAATAGATGTCCAGATGACGGGTGTAAATTTTGACAATCAGCTGTTCGCTGGGAGTAAACCGAAGTAAGCAGCGTACTCGACATTTGGCAACCCCTATGTGGGTTCAATGCAGTATTTCTGCTAGTTTTCTATCAATAATTTTTTGTTGAATGTGTGCTTAAAGTTTAAAAATATTTCCAGTTATAAAGGAGTTAAAAGCAATTTGAGGTTAGAGGTTTTTCAGTTTTACCAGGTATCTCGTAAACAAATTAATAAAGGAAAATTTCAAAAGCACCAATTTTCTTTTTGAAAATTATTCAAAAATCGAGCTTATAGCAATCATAACGGCTTTTTGCTCCGGTTTCGGAACTAACTCATAAAATTGACCAATTTTCGTTCCGGGGGTTGCTGATCCAACTTTATCACAATAGGGTGTTTTTTTTAATGTTGATATATAGAAAGTAGTTATGGCAAACATTACACTGATATCATTTTCTTTGCGAAACAAATCTCTATAATAATTTTAAAGCGAATTTAAATTCAAATCAGATGTTTTCCGCCATCCGTATCGTCGGTTGCCTATCCCGATTGTGACGTAGCAGGTCATATCCACAAGTGCCTCGTGTTTATTTTATTGTTTTCGCAGTTTTGTTTTATTATTTCAGATATTGTAATTATTATTATTTTATCGATTATTATTATTATCTTGCATAATGGAAAATAGTGACATGTTTGTATCACAAAATAAGTGGTGTTTTGTGCCAGGATGCAAGAATACCTCAACAAGTGCTCCAAACAAACTCTTTCTAACCGTTCCTCATGATTATGCACGTAAAGTTTTATGATTTAAAGCAGCTAGACGTGATGTTCCTAAATCAAAATCAATGTTTTTTTTATTGCGAGGATCATTTAAATGAAAGTAGAAACAAAAATCTGATGATGAGGCAGATATAATATGCCTTCGATCGTACTTTGTGTTCTGAGCAAATTCTGCTTTGTACAGTGCACAAAGAACCCTCGCGTTTCAATTCCACATATCCGATATCACCAAATTGTTCTCGTGATGCCCAAAATACGAATTTAAGAGTTCATGTTACTTTTAAAGCAGCCATGTGTATAAGTTAGATTAAGTTGAATAAGTGAAATTCCATATATTATTTACCTAATTTAAACCAATACAGACAGATTAGTATATTAAGGAGAGAGTCTTAATAATTAATTAAGGAGAGAATAACTAATAATGAATTTACTGATTTTTACTTCCGCTGCTGCTTTGACACCCTTAAATTCGGCTGAATTAAAGTGTTTGTCGTTTTTAAAAAAATCGGTAACCATAACAAAAAGTACACATAGTAAATTGTTTGTTGACGCTTTAAGGAATCCTTCTGAAGCGATTTTTTAGTTTAACACAAACTATAAATGATTTAAATCCACAAAATAATTAATGAAACACAACCACACAACTAAACACAATGCACAGAACGTAAACAATCCGCCATTTATATGACCAGAGACGTCACAACCAATAGGATTGCGTTTTAGAGATTCATGAATAATTTGAATTTTAGCTGAATTTGTTTATTAAATATTTAACAAAATAGCAATAGATAGATAGTAAAAACTTACTTAATCTTTCATATATATATATTACCATAGATTAATATTCAGTTTGTAGGAATTTTTGACACATGCAATCTGCAGCTCGGGATATTTTAGTTGAGGTCCATTTGAATTAATGTGAGTTAGTTATGTAACACACAAACAGCGACAGCGGAGATGAGGAAAATACGTTTCCTCTAATCAGACCAATATTTTGGCAATTAAAACGATTTCCAGTTTTACTTTGCCTATTTTTAATTGATTTAATTAATTGTAATGAGTGCGCCATTGAAGCCAAATCACACAAAACATATTTTTAAATTAATTTCGGTTTGAACATTATTTAGTAACCAACCAGTTGATTAATCAAATATACTCATGATCCACCATCATATAAATAATGTCCCGGACTCTGGAATTATATTCATCACTGTACGTTTCTTGATTCATAAATTTTTCAAATATTAATCCATCATTAGCAAGTTCGACAAAATTAGTTGCATGATTTTCGTGCATTAGCACATGGTGTAGTAGACACATTGCAATGCACATGCACGCTGCGGCATTTTGTTTGCAGTGCTGTTGGAAACGCTCATAAGGAAATATTTCGTTTGTATCCAGGCCTAAATGCTGCAAATTTTTCTGGACTGTTTCGTAGTACTCATCCAGGAATGTTTGGTGATTGTCCAGTGCAAATTTGGATCCAGAGAGGAAAAGAAAATAAAATAAGTCCATTGCAGGGCTTGAAATTTTGCAGATTTGCCAGTCCAAGAAGCACATGCTTGTAGGAGTGCAAAGATTTCCTGGATCCTAAAAATTCTTGGTTTAAAGCAATGGCAATCTGATCGTTCATAGTCCTACCTCGTATTTGAACATCATATTATTGCACCAAGAGTCTCCATGTGTAACAACCAACTTGTTGCTTTCCATAGCAGTTGCACTAAAAATGTTATTTAATTCGATTTGGCATTTCTCTAATGCTTTTGTTGCTTTCTCATGCCCTTCAACGATTTTTAAAGCGTGATCAAAAGCTTTCTCTGTGCTCCGCAGATAAGATCCTTGAGTCTCTGGCATTTCTTGCCAGACGTCCTCTAAGTTGGAAGTGAGGGACTGGTAGGTTTCAGGTAACAAGTGCTTCATAGCTAAAACAGATTTTATGTAGATAAGAAATTGAGGATTCTCAAAGAAAATTTACCTAGAGAAACTGAGTGGAATTTTGCCAGTTCTCTGAAGACGTGAGAAACATGGTCCGCATCCATCCCATTTTTTCTGTCCAGCATTTGAAATTTGGCATCCTTTATGTTATTCATCAGCAAGCATTCGTCACCATCCTTAACAGAGCATCCACGAAGTTTGGTGTAGGACTTGAATGGATACTTCAACGCTCTACTTTGTTGAAAAATTTCAAACGTTGGCAGCAAGGTTTCATACACGAAACGTTCCCGTTCATACAAACTGTGTACCGGTATTTGGGAGCGAACTCTTAAATCGGTTTCCGCACACTTTAACACGTAGCTTTTTTCCTTGCTCATCCCATTTTCCTTTACGTTGATTATCCGAACGTTTCCCAAGAAATTGTCGCCCTTTTTGCAGCCCTCTTCAACCGAAAAGGTAAAATCTTTGAATCCATCCTGGGCACAAACCTCGTTCAACAACGACTCTTGCTCTTGGCTTAACATTTTTCCCACCAAGTTTAACCGATTTTGCTTCGCGAATGAAGGGAAACTTACTGGGCAATCAAGAGGAATGAAAGACGAGTTTTAAGAGTTTAGATTTTTTCGAAAAAATCCAGGCGCTTTATGTGAGCACGTGCTTTGGGTTAGTAAGGAGGCATAGGTAAGATTTTGGGTTTGGTCAAAAAATTTGGAAACTTTGGGTTAACGCGTGTGCTTCTATTACTTGGGGGATTTTGGACTTAACACTAACTCTCTGCATAAAAATTCAAATTTGCGCTACATGGGCAAACAATCACAGTTATTTGCCAATTGCTTGTAGTTGATGATTCCTTTAGTTTAAATTGGCAGCCTTTTCAAATTTTACTAAGTAAAATATGAAAAATTTCAGTTTCCACAAGATCTTGTACTACAATGGGTACTGTGATAAAATTGCGCATCAATACCAATGAAAACGTAATTTGTGCAATTGGAAAATATGTATTGCACAATGCAAACATCATGAAAACAATAAATAAAACAGATTAAAAGTGTCAAGGTTTCGTAAGCTAATTCGCTTTTCTGCCATAAATCTAAACCCTAATCAAACTATGTACAAAGCTGGCTTTCATTTGAGTCCAAGAGATTTTGGGATTGTTATTGTTGGTTCAAGTTTTTAGTTATTTACCTACAGTAACATTAAATATTTGATTAATCAACAATAAAAGAAATTGGGTTTGCGTAAAGTTGCGCAATTCTTTGTCAGATGCAAGTTGCTTAGTGCACTGAAGAGAATATATTTGTTTTCAGTGCACTTTAATGCACTGCAGCTTAATGGTGGAATACTGTTTATTGCTATATTTTTCAGCAAACGAAATAAATTGCGCTGTTTAAATTTTAACATTTGTTAAGAAGAAAACAGCTTTCATATTTTATATAAACTGCTCAAAATAGACGTTTTACCCACAAATTTGCACGAATTTTGAAGCTGGATAAATTCTGATCGCGGAGTGCGATTCGATTTCTGTTTGAAGCGTTATTTAATGTAATTYTTTTCCGGYAAGTGCGTGTTTTTGCAAAAAATAGAGGTTCAGATAAAGTTCGACGGAGTGGCAATTGAAACAACGCAAAATTGGTRAAAGTTCCTYAGTTGGACACGAATAGWTTTTTAATTTCAAAACCAYATGCATTAAGTCTGTATATTTTCAAAAAGTTYGTGAATTTTTSGAGCATYTAGCAYTTACAGAGCRGTCTAAAAAAAATAAATAATTTTTTTTCTCTTAAACYGATTTTSCAAATCTTGGGCTCATATTRAAGGTAAAACTTCACCGTTGAATTGAGAGAAAATATCACAATAGCRGATTGCATAGATGAACRAAAAATTTGARAGTCAAYTTMACTTAGTTGAAAATCTTCCAGAATCACARATTTTGGAGGAAAGTCTGATTTCAGAAWTTTTTTATGCAACYATCTGCAAAAATAGTTTATTAATATTAAGTACTTAAAAACTTACTTTTCAATTCCCGAACAACTCGGAATGTTTTCACCTTCACCTATCATTGTCGAATTTGATCTGATTTTTTTAAATTCGCAATTATTTATATCGCWATTAAAAGTGGTTGGGCGAGACAAATCTTGGTTGTCTCKCCCACCCCTAGCGCCGSCACTGCTAAGAGCAAACCGAACTTTCCGTAATTTTGCATTTCTTCATTTGCCGCCCCGTAGAAAATTTATYTAAARCGCTYGATTTTTAMCAAATTATCTGCGAACAAAAATCAAATGCGGCTAGATGATGCTTCAAACAGAAACAAAATCGCTCCAAGCAATCAGAATTTATCCAGGTCCAAAGTTAGGGCAAATTTGGCARGGTAACGTTCATTTTGTTGAACACTTTATTTYTGTGAAAAATACTATCGATCCAATCGGTTTTTCTGCTCTAGTATATGTACATATTAAATGGAAAAAGTTTAMRWAGTTATAAATGCTTTTTGAGTGCTCAGGATCGATAATCGACAATATAAGTATTTTTATTCGGTTTAGATCGAATACTTTATTGAAAAGCATATTGCAAAGCTTTTTAAAAGCAGAAGGTTCTTTTTTYTTGTAAATTTGAATGAATGTAKATTTCGAAAAAATGTTACGRCTGTTTGCCATTCTCTATCGTTTTTATGGCAAGGAAATGTGCAAAAAACACGTGAGACCCTTCAGARCCGAAATAMATGAAAATGTTAACTTATTTTAAACAGTTTCTGAGCRGTCAGGATTGTTGRTCACCGATATATTGCTCAAACACATTATTTATGCATAAATTCAGCTTTTTCTGTAGAAAGCTTTCAGTTGAGCTAGCAAACACAAAAAACTAAAATACTCAAACACAAGTGCAAAATATTCCCCATGTATGCAAATATCCGATTGTCCAATCTTTTGCTCAGGTTGTATGCAAAGCAAATGCGATATTAAAATTCTATTTCTTTTATTGCAGGTATTCACATGGGGAACAGCGGAAATGGGGAAAGTTCAGCGGTAAGTTAATACAGCATTTTCAATATTATAAGAGCGGTTGAAACAACATAAAGGAGCGGAGTTCGGGTGGCCACCGCCGAAACATCGCCATCAAACGTCTCATTTAAGCACCGGTTTTTGATAACTTTTTGGTACCAGTAGAAAGATGCTTTTGGTGTTCTGGTTCGGTTTTCATTGGCAAAGTCTACCGAGATCGCTCCAAATTTGGCCCTACGAGAAAACAACGGTAATCCAGGCTGGGGTAAGAGGTAAGAGAGGGGTAGGAGCCTTACGTATAGCCGTTGGACCATTCAAAGTTATCCATAAAACTCCACTGAGTGTACCCTGTAACCGCTACATTGTGGTTGTAAATTGCGTCAAGCACACTGGATAGATGTAGCTAGAATTTCGTTATTAATCGAGGTTAATTTCCAGTTTTTAATATGACTATTGATGATTATAGGCCTGGGTAACACTGTGTTGAGTTGCGCTTTTGAGTTGTTGCCGCTCTCTGTGTTAGTGAGTTTTAACTCACCGGTTAATGAGTTGAAAAAACTCATGGTCGATGACGGAATATTACCATCTAACAAAAAAAAGCCATCAACATATTCCTTTTACGCATACGATGGCTTGAAACTACAGTAAAGTCCGCTTATAATGAACCCGGTTATAGTGAACTTTCGGTTAAAACGAACTTTTCTCCTTTAATTGAAACGTCATTCATAAAAGCCAACGTATTTTTTTACTGGTTATAACGATCCCGTTCATAACGAACTTCCGGATATAACGATCACTTTTTGGGTTAGTTATATATTCACTTTTTTTTTACAACGAACTTCCACGCTCAAAAACATTTCAACAAACTCAGATGAAGATGTGCACAATTTTGTCGAAGAACAAGTTAAAACCAAATTGAGTGTTTTCGATTTCTTGGAATATGTGAACATTGATAACGGCATTCTTACAAGAGAAATGTTGGCCGATGAGCAAATTATAGACTCCGTAACCTCATCTACAGCTTTAAGCGATAATGAGGAAGATGATGATTTAGGTGAAACTGATTCTACTGTAGACACTAATGCTGTTCCAACCCTTTCTGAAATGACAAAAAGAGCGTCCGAAACTCGAAATTTTCTACAATCACGCCAAGTTCCTAATCATATCTGGGAATCATTTTGTGATTTTGAAAACTACATAAATAACATCTATTCTTGCAGCAGAAATGTACAAACAAAATTGCAGACTTTATGAAGCAGATTTCAAATTGTGTTCTTTTTAGTTATACCTACTAACTTCTACTACTCTATGTAAAAATAACGAAATAAAATACACCACGTGTTTTTGCATTATTATTCGCTTATGGCGAACTCCGGATATAACGAACCAGTTTTAGTTCATTTTTCAAGTTCGTTATATCCGGACTCAACTGTATTTGGTTTAAAATGGGAAAATTCGAAAATTTTGAAGAAACTTAAAAAATGTGATGAGGGTGACGAGTTTTCCAAATATTGATTATATGGTTTTGCTTTCACTGGTCTTTTTTTGAAAAAACCTAAATTTTGTCGAAACAAAAACAAGATACTTTGTTTCGATTTTGTGCCGAATTCAACGGTAAAATGGGTATTCGAAAAAGACGATAAAGAAGACCAAACTGTAAAGACGAGGACCTTTCTTGTAAATCCATCTTTTAACTTTTTTGCATAAAAGACTCTCAGTTTGCTAGTATTGTACAGTACTTGACGTTAGGAAAAACACGCTGTTCTGTTTAGAGAGAGTTTTGTTTAGAAATATTGACCTAAAAGTGAGGAAAGCGGAATTTAAATAAACCAAATTATTCACAGCGACAAAAGTGACGAGTTTTCCGAATAATTGATTCTAAACTTTCACTTGTTCTGTTCGCGGAAATATTTTTGGAAAAAAATCCACAAAAAAATATCAGGGTGTTGTCCAAAATTGGAAGCTGCAAAAGGTTCCAAAAAAGAATTTACAAAGCTCTACAGGAGCCGAGTGTTCCAATAAAATTATTTTATAATTTTCACAGAAAATTCCTGAAGATTATCAGTAGTTTAAGTAACAATAATATGGTTTTTGCGTAGAAAGAATTGCATAATAGAAACTTGAACTGGAATAACCTGAAATTTTAAAGAAACTTGAAAACTCTTTAGAGCGATGAAGGTGGCGAATTCTCCAAATAATTTTTTGGAAACTTTTGCTCTGGCCGTTTTTTTTCAAGACAATTTTAATTACTTTCGGTAAAAAATTTAATAAAACTATTTGGTTTTTGTGCCAAATTCGAGGCTGAAATGGGTTTTGTAAATTACCTTGCAAACTGACGAATGAGGCGAAAAACGTTTAGTTCTGGGATCGGTTTTTGAGAAAATCTTACTGATTTTCGGCAAAAAACGGAAGAAAGTTATTTTCGTTTTGGTCCCGAACTCGACGCTGAAAAGTTTTCATACAAAGCTATAGATTTATCTTGTAATTTTTCGCGTAAAAGACCTTCAGAACTTCGTCAGTATTTTTAAGCAAAACTCTATAAAATAGAGCGTTTTGAGTGAAAAGAAAAGCAAAAAAAATTTAGTCAAAATTAAAAAATCACATTTTTTAACAAGTCTTCAGAGGAATGGAGGTGACGAGTTTTGCAAATAATTTATTATAAACTTTCGCTGATTCTGTTCGTGTTATATATTTTTTGGGTTTTTGATTAAAAACATTTAGTTTCGTGATCGGTTTTTGCGAAAACCATACTGGTTTTCGGGAAAAGACGGAATAAATTTATTTTCATTTTTGTACCAAATTCGACTCCAAAAACTTTTTTTCTGAAATTCAGTCTAATTTCTAAAAGTCAACAGTCTTCAGAGGAATGTAAATCACGAGTTTTCCAAATAATTTCAAATAATTTATTATAAACTTTCGCTGATTCCGTTCGTTTTTTGATAGCAAATTATTTGATTTTTGTCCCAAATTCGATGCTGGAAAGGGATTTCAAAACTTTTTACAAAACGACAAAGGATTCGAAATTCATTTCATCATTTTTCGCGAAAACTACCTTAAGAGTGTCAGTATTTTTAAGTGAATCTTTAGAAGAGTCAGCATTTAGAAAAAGGGTAACTTTGCTAAAACTGAAAAATTTTGAAATTTTGAAGAAATGTTAAAAATATTATTGATAAATGCCCTTTAAAATAAATCTAGAAACAAGTAAAAAAAGTCATCGACTTTTTCCCAACAATGGAACTGAGTTACTGCGCGGGTGCGTTGGGTTGGCGCACCAAGCCATTTGCGTGGCACTGCGCCAACTCCTCAAATTTTATTGAGTTACCCAGGCCTAGATGGTTATACTGACATTAACGTATTCAATGCGGTCTGAGTCGTTCAAGTTGGAGCCATCGTCTGACCAACCATTTTCTGTGATAATGATTTCCGGTTGATTGTAGTTCTCGTGTATCCATTTTAAGAGCCTGGTCAATCCCCAAGGGACTTGATGCAGCCAGCTGGTCGTGCCGGAGACTTTCCAAGTAGCATCCACTAAGCTAATGTGCCCCTTGTCTATATCATAGCTGGCATTACCCGGCAGATCATCTACTTTGTATGCTAATTGGGCAAGAGCAGTTGTGTAACTGCAAAGTAGCTGGTTAAAGATGGCAATCCTTAAATTGGCCGGTCTTACTAGTTCAGGCCAAACCAATCGTATGTTCCCTTGATGTAGTCGATTTCTTCTCGAGTGAATTCTGGTAGTCTGGATTGTGGCAGGCCCTCCAATGCACTGCGGTTTCCAACTCTATCGATTACGACTTGCGGCCAATTTCCCACGAAAATCGGATGAGCGAATAATCCCAGCTATAATAAAGTGATTTACAATGCTAATACGGTGTTTTCACTTTTTTTTAAATGTTGATATATAGAAAGTAGTTATGGCAAAAAAATTATTGCAAAAAAAGTCCCCATAATAATTTTAAAGCGAATTTAAATTCAAATCAGATATTTTCCGTCAAAAACTCCGAATCCGTATCGTCGGTTGCCTATCCCGATTGTGACGTAGCAGGTCATATCAACAAAGCGTCTCATGCTTATTTTGTTGCTTTCGCAGCCTTGTTTTATTATTTAAGCTATTGTGATTATCATTATTATTTTATTTATTATTATTAATATCTTGCATAATGGAAAATAGTGACATGTTTGTATCACAAAATAAGTGGTGTTTTGTGCCAGGATGCAAAAATATCTCAATAAGTGCTCCAATCAAACTCTTTCTAACCGTTCCTCATGATTATGCAGGTAAAGTTTTATGGTTTAAAGCAGCTAGACGTGATGTTCCTAAATCAAAATCAATGTGTCTTTTTGTTGCGAGGATCATTTTAATGAAAGTACGAACAAAAAGCTAATGATGAGGTAGATAGAATATGCCTTCGATCCTACTTTGTGTTCTGGGCAAATTCTACTTTGTA